GGACAACTGACATAACATCATCTATAAAGACAATGTTCTGCCTCTCGTTTTGGTGAATAGCAACTGGGGTCTTAAAAGCTGGCAAGATGAGATACAACTATTGGTCTTGTCCCTTGGAGCAAAGAATAACGAAGGAAATCAAAGATTCAGGGAGACCATTGGTCCAGAGAACACTTGAACCACAGCCTCCTCTCTCTAGCCTGAAATAAGACCTAGCTGGTTCCTGTCTACCAATATCAACTATTCTGGACAGGATCATGATAGAAGGTTATGGACAGAATGAAAGAAGAAGGCACAGACATACACACACAGAGAGAAAGAGAGAGAGAGAACAAAATGTATAATCGTAAGAAAGACTTTCAAAGCAGGAGTGGCATCCACTTCCTAAACAACATGCCTCTGGAAACTCTATGAACTTTGATAAATGATGATAGTTCTAGAAAGGCTACAGGCCTTTGTTCATAGGGTCACTATGAGTCGTGCTCAACTGAATGAAATCAACAACAATAAAAAGACTGAACTTATTAGTCTTACAGAAACTGATGGAACTCCCCAGGCTATGGCCCTGAGACATCCTTCAAACCTAGAACTGAATCCACTCCTTGAAATCACCATTTTCTCTATCAACAGACAGGCCAATAAATGAACAATCGCACCCAGGAGGAACACACTCCTGGAGTGGTTGGGGAAGAGAGCGAATTAGCATCAGCTTGTCAATTTCTACAAAAAGGCCTGCTGAGGTTTTGAAGGTTCCTGCACCGAGTTTATAGATCAGTGTGAGGAGAGCTGCCGGTATTGACTTTAGCAAGGTGTGCCTTCGTTTTGTCTTGCTCTCCTTTAATTCCTCTGAGCAGTGCTTTGTATTTTTCAGAATATATTATCTTACACCTTTTTTTAAAACATTTATTCCCAGGTACTTCTGATGCTATCGCAAATGAAATTATTTTCTTAATTGAATTTTAAGATTTCTCATTGTTTATTCATAGAAATACAATCTATTTAAATACAGGGGAAAAAAATGATAACTTATTTACTATTTAGGGTGCTCTGGTGGCCTAGTGGCAAGAAGCTGTGCTACGATCCCAAAGGCATGCACTTCGAGGTCACTAGCTGCCCCACAGGAGAAGGGTGGGCAATCTCCTCTCATGCGATTAACTGCCTCTGAAAACTCGCTAGAGGGTCAGCTGTGGGTCGGCTCCGACTCAATCCCTCTACATGTAAAATGTTGGAGGGGAATAATCCAAGGGATCCTTGGTGATAACACACTGGGAACCAGGAAGGAAAGAAATAAACTAGTTGCTGTCAAATAAGATATAATTCACTGGAACCCCTTCTATGACCCCATGGGTATTGAAGTAGAACTGTGCTCCATAAAGTTTTCAATAACTGGTTTTTCGGAAGTAAATAACCAGACCTATCTTCTGAGTCACGTCCTGGTATAATTAATCTTCCAGTCTTTTGGTTAGCAACCAAGTTCATTAACCATTTGCACCACTCGAAGACTCCAGTGGTCTAGTTTAGTGCACCTAGTTGAGAGATGAGAAGACTGGGGTCCAGAGAGGTTGCCAGGCTAGCTTTAGATCACACAGCTAGCTGTGGAAATATTTGGACCTTAACCAAGCCTTCTCTGCATGCTACCGGGACAGAATAACACCTGTAGGGCATTTTTCTGGAAACCCTACCTCTGCCCCAGACTCCAGAAATTCCTTACTGACAGTGCAGATTGTGTGAGCCACAGATAACCTACGCTCCCAGAGAACAGTGATAATAATAAAAAGCCTGCTGTATTGTGGTATTTCATCAACTCTGAGATATCGTTCGTTGTAAGAAGCACCACCATTTTTGTACCACAAACAAAAAGCTGTGCCAAGTATAATTCTAAGGGATCATCAATCAAAAGATGAAACTCAATTTTAGGAATTTAAAGATTGTGAGAGAAAATGTGCGTGTTAGAGTAAAAGAGATACGGTGCATTCGCTTATCCCACACCGCTCAGAGTGACAGGGCTGCAATTCTGGGGGATTTTCTTCCAACTGGTTCTCCTGCCTGGTAAAGATGCTAACGGGGGATAAAATGGCACTTTGAGTAAAACATTTCTATTAAAAAGTGGAATTGAGTAGGGGGGTAGGCACATCTCACTCTGTGGGACCAGATGACAGAGTCTTGGGTTTTCCTCAGAAGACCAGGGTTTGAAGCTCATTCACAAGCTTTCTACTGGTATCATGTGGGGCAAATTCTCATTCCCCACAAGATCAGTTTCCTCATTTAAAAATCAGAGATAATATCTGTCCATCTCTATCCCTCTGTAGCAAAGAGATGTTGGTACAATTTCTCAAAGTTGAGTCATGTTGGTGCCTGATGCAGGTTCATTTCAAGAACTGCCTGCTGTTGGCCCAGCTGGCATCTGCGCCTGCTCAGAATGGAGGGTTGTGGAGTAACAGGGAAGGTTTACGGGGAGACGTTGTGAGGCCAGTGGGGAGCACCTCACAGTGATAAGCATCAGAAAGAGTGGATGGAGACCCTTGGGGCTTCTCTATTCTTGACCACACATGACACATCTTGAGAAGGTATCCAACTGCCTGTCCAAGAAGGGAGTCACTTTTAAGTGGAGGCAAGGGGACCTGGGCCTTGTAAGAGGCAGGTGACAGAGTTAGCCAGAGGTCCCACTCTCCAAATCCTGAGAAGGCACCCCTAAGACTCCTCATCTGATATCCTGGTGACACAGGCATTATCAGTGGTGTGCTTCTGCTGAACAGTACAGTCACTAAACCCACTGCCATCATGTCGATTCTGACCCTATATGATAGAGTAGACCTGCCCCATAGTTCCCAAGACTGTAAATCTTTATGGAAGTGGACTGCCACATCTTTCTTTCGTAGAGAAGCTGGAGGTTTCAAGCCAGGAACCTTCAGTTAGTTGCTGAGCGCTTAGCCACTGCACCACCAGAACTCGGTCTAGTCACAGGAAGACTTAATCAGCCCCAGTGTCAGATCACCCACTGAAAAATCTTCACTGCCATCAAGTCCGTTCCAACTCATAGGGACTTTCAGTGGGGTTTCCAAGCCCGTCAGTCATTATAGGAGGAGATTGCCCATCTTTCTCCTGTTGAGCCAGTGGTGGGTCCAAACTGCCTACGTTTGCTTGGCAACCTGATGCATTGCACACAGTCCCACCAGGGCAAGGGAAGCTTGGTAATCCGTTAGTGTGCTTATTTAAATTACTAATCTATAGTAAACAGTCTCACATTTCTCCACCACATCAGTGATCTAGTTTCTAGGTATGGTTGACATCTGTCTTTCTCCCAACCCTATTGCACCTTCCTACACATATAAGAGCTAGATAATAAGTAAGGATGACAGAAGAATTGTTGCCTTTGAGTTGTGGAATTGGAGAAGAATACTGTGTATCCCATGACTGACAAGAGCACAAGCAGATACGTCTTGGAGAAGGTGCAGCCAGAGTGCTCCTTGGGATCAAGGATGGCAAAGCTTCATCTCACGTACTTTGGACATGTTGCTAGGAGAGCCTATTCCTTGGAAAAGGACTAGGAAAGGTGGAGGGTCAGCTTAGGAGAAGACCTTCGACGAGGTAGGTTGATACAGTGACTACAGCATTGGGCTCATGTGTGTCAGAGATGATGAGGATGGCACAGGACAGGAGAGGGTTCAGATCTGTTGTTCATAGAGTCACTGTGAGTCATACTCAGCCCCATCTAACAAAAGTAACAGAATGAAAGTCTCACTTCAAATTCACAGTCTCTGGCAGGAACAGAACACTCAGTCAGCAAGGTTAAGCGTGAACTTCCTTGTGTGTGCTTGCTGATGTGTAAGTGAACAATTTCACCTGCTTCTCACCTCTGTCAAGCCCCACATGCAGAAACAACAGGGAAAGAAGAACCACCAGCTGTTGCCCAGATGCCCTTTTTAAGGAGGCTCCCTCGACACTCATCTCAGCCCTTCAAAGCAACTCTGTTCTGTCCCTCTCTCTTTTGGGGGAGTAGAGGGAATCAGATGGCATAGCCCCCGAGCCTTCCCTGAAGCAACTCCTCCTTGTCCAGCTGTAGCGGCCTTGTGGTCCTGGAGGCTGAGCAGACAAGGTCCTGGGCTCCTGGGACTGTTCCTGGCCCTGCCCCTGACTTAGAGACAGGATCTGCACCAGTTTACAATCCCTCTAGAGGCCTCTGTTTTCTAATCTATAAAAGATGAGAAGGCCATTTGAGCCTCCTCAGTGAACAAACCTAAGGGTTAAGTAAGGAGCCATGCCATCACATGCAGACAACATATAGAAACACTCTGAGGCGAGGAAAAGCCCAGGGTACCAGGAATTGGACAGAGAGGGAGAGCACAAAGAACCAACGACACACTGGCCATTCCCATGGCTGCAGTCTCCACCTTAACACAAGGATGTAGTTGATACCATAATAAAAAGCACAGTAAGGACTCAGACTTGGGTTAACAATTGGATCTGACTACCTGCTAGGAAGCTCTGGTGGCCTTGTGCTAAGAAGCTCCACTGCCATCCCAAAGGCACATGGTTCAAATCCAGCAGGTGCTCCACTGAAGAAAACCGGGCATGTTCCTCCTGTGCTGTTTACTGCCTCTAAAAAACCCACTGAAGAGTCAGCTATGAGTTGGTTCCAACTCGACAGCACATAACAACAACAGCTAGGTAAGAAACTCTGTTACTGTAGTTAGTAAAAGTGTTGCACAGCTATCCAAAAGGCTGCATTTCTGGTTGATGGAAGCCAGCGGCCTGTGGGAGAAAGAGGGGCAGTCACCTCTTGAGGAAGCCAGTTTAAATTTGACTTGCACAAGTCGCCTAATTTTGCAAAGCCTTTATTTCCTCTGTAAAATCTGGATAACCAAACTATTCTTTCCCCATTGGGCTTTTCAGGGATTAGATGAGATGATGTGTGAATGTGCCGGGTCCAGAGGGGCTCAGTAAATGCCTGCTCCGGAGGCCCCTGTCACCGCCCCACTCTAACCCACGACTTCCTGCAGGTGGGTGGCGCGGCCGTGCTGGCCGTGGGCGTGTGGACCCTGGTGGAGAAGAGTGGCTACCTGAGCATCCTGGCCTCCAGCACCTTCGCCGCCTCTGCCTACATCCTCATCTTCGCAGGCGCTCTCGTCATGGTGACAGGCTTCCTGGGCTTTGGCGCCATCGTCCGCGAGCAGAGGAGCTGCCTGTCCACGGTGAGTGTCGCCAGCCCCCGCGGTGCCTGTGCTCCAGGAGGCTGGCAGGAGAAGCCCAGAGCCTCAGGAACCGCGCTGGAGGCCCCGATCATGCCTGTTCCCCAATCAGATTTCCCTGTGCTGAGACCCTCCATCAAAAGATAGGAGCTCCTGCCTTGAGCCAGAATAGGATGCAGAGGCCATGGGAAAGCCGGGTCAGGAGGCTGCTCTTGGGTCAGAAGTTTGTGTATTTTCCATGTTAGTGACTCATTCTCCCTCCCCCCCAACCTCCTCCTCTTCCTTGTCTCCCTCTTCCTTATTCTTCCTCATGCTCCTCCTCTTGCTCTTTGTAGATTTCATCATGGGGAATTTTAAATAGATATGAAAGTCAATAGAATGGTCTGATGAAGGTCTCCGTTTTCATCACCACGATTCAAGGCCAGTCTGGTTCCTCCATGCCTTCCCCTCCTACCCCCCTCTTCTTCCCCTGGATTATTCTAAACAATCCCAGACGCCATGTCTTCTGTAAATATCTCAGTATGTATTTATAAAACTTAAGGATCATTTATTTTTACAACACAGTGATATTGCTATTATCAAATCTAAGGACAATTAGTAGTCTTTTCTTAATACCATGAAATAACCAAGCAGTTTCCAATTTCCCCCGAGTGACCAATAAACGGATTTTGTTTTATTTGGTTTTTCTCAGTTCATCTGAATCAGAATCTAAATTAAGTTCATCCGTTAAAATTGGTTGATTTGTCTCTCAAGTCTCTTTTAGCTGATAAGTTCTCCATCAATCTTTTTCCCTCCTATAATTTATTTGTTGAGGGCACCCCAATGACCTAGCCAATAGGGAGTTGTGCTGCCAAATGCCAAGGAGGGCGGTTCAAATCCACCAGCTGCTCTGTAGGATAAAGATGGGCATTTTTGTTTTATTTTGTTTTTAATTTATTTGTTGAAGAAACCAGGTCAGTTGGCCTATAGTGTTTCTTCCCATCTGGTTTTCTGATGACATTCTTGTGGTGGTGACAACTGTGTTCCAGCAGTTGGATATAAAAGCTTGATCAGATTTTGGGTTGATTGCATGGGCAAACGTATTCCATGGGTGGTCATGTGGGCACCACATTCATCGTAACCACCATCCACCGGAGAAACTGGGGACGATAATCTTAGCTGGCTCTTATAACAGGGACAGCAGCCAGAGTGGGATATATAGGGGATGGTCTCCTGGAGTTTGGCTCTGGATCCCGGTGAACCCCAATACCTCAACTCCCATGGACTCGTCAGCATGTCAAGGCCTCTGCCTGTCCCCACTCGCCATCTCCTTCAGAAGGGCCAAAGTCAGGCATGTGGGAGGAGGGAAAACAGGCAGGAGAGGCTAAAAAGCATCCCAGCTTAGCAAGGAAGTGCCAGAGGCAGAGCCGGTGCAAGCGTCAAAGAGAAAGCAGGTTGGGTCTGAAGGAATCAGGCCTGTGTTCTCTGCATCCAGGTCACCCCCATCAACTTCACAACCTGTCCTGTACAACCAAGATGAAGGGTGTAGAAGCAGGAGGAGGGGACGGAGAGAGCCTGAGGGGCAGCCCCTGCAGCAGCTCTCACCAGATGATGACCTAGTTCTTTAGCCCTGCAGAGAAAAAGCTCCAGTACACCAGCCCAGCAGGACAGCCCTTCTCTCTGAAGAAGTCCGTAATTCTGCTCTGTAGGATAGTGCATAGCCCACATGCTGGCCGAATGCGTGGTCCCGCACTGCAGACAGTGCAGTGCAGCCAAGGACCAGCCACAGAGCCCAGGCATGGAGCTGGCCCCTACATGGGTTTGGAGTGGGGGCAGGTGTGTGTGTCCAGTGCCTGTGGAGATTCAGGTGGCTTCGAACTGCTGACTCTTTGGTTAGCAGCCAGTGTTTAACTTACAGTGCCGCCATGGCTTCTTGCTTCGAAAGAATCCTCTAAAGATCCTTGGTCCCCATACAGCACTGAAAAGTAACCCTCATCCTACCCCAATCCCCGACTCAGTTATAACTCACTTGCCAATCATTCATTGAAAGCCACCTATCCTTACAACAACCTCACAGAGTCTTAATAGTAGTGACCTCTCTGTATCAAAATTTACACACATTTTAAATCTTTACTCTAGTCTTATGGGGCATTAACTATTATCACATACATGTTGTCGTTGAAGGCACAGAGAGGTTAAGTAAGGCCACACAGCAACAAAGCAGCAGACCCAGATTCCTACAATGAGGTCTGACTGATGAGCCCATAATCAAACATATTATACTGATTCACCCACCTGAATCCGTGAGAAGATGAGCTGAGCCCAGAGACCAGGAGCCAGCAGTGCTGGAGCTGGAGTTTGAATCCCGGTCTGAATCACCTCCAAGAGTCAGCTCTACCCGGACAAAGCCAATCTGATCAAAGACAGAAGAGTCGTCAAGACCAAGCTCACAGGTGGCTCACAGGTGCACACTGTTCCCCATTTCCGTGGAGGTCAGCACTGAGCAGCTGTACTCAATGATATAGTTTGATGCAAGAGAAGCCCAGCCCAAAACCTGTGGGCCAGAGACTCTCTGACCACTGGCATGTTGCTTGCTTCAATCTGGGGAAGAAAGGCAGGAATAGTTGTTGTTTTTAGGTGCCATCAAGTCAACTACAACTCATAGTGATCTTGTGAACAACAGATTGGAGCCTTGTGCCATCCTCATGCATAAGCCACTGTTGTTTACGTTCAGTTTAAAATAAATTCAATTCATTGCCATTGAGTTAGAACCAACTTAAACAGACCCTCCAGTGGGTTTTCAGAGGCAGTAAATTGCACCAGAGGAGATTGCCCATCTTTCTCCTGCTGAACAGCTGGTGTATTCAAACTGCCAGCCTTTTGGCTGGAAGTGCAGCTCCTTACCCACTAGACCACCAGTTGCTCCCATTAGAGTATGGTGATAAGAGCTGGCATGCAGTTGCCAATTCCAATCCCTTCAGAGCAGCTTGCACTTCCTCCATCATCACCATTGCCTCTGGATCATATGTTGTTTCATTAAATTCTTCTGCATCAATCCTTTTTGGAACAGTGACTCTGTGTACTCCTTCTATTTTCTTTTGAAGCTTGTTAGATTATTCCATATTCAGCCCATAGCATCATTAAATATTTCAACTCAAGGCTTGAATTTGTTTTACAATTCTTCAGCTTAAGAAATGCGGAACAGGTTCGTCCCTTTTGATTCTCTGACTCCAGTTTTCACACATTTCATTATAATACTTTGCTTTGTTTTCCTGAGCTGCCCTTTGAAGTCTTTTATTCAGCTCCTTAACTTCTGCTTTCTTCCCTTTGCTTTGGCTTCTTGGCACTCTAGTGCAATATTCAGAGTCTATTCTGACATCTGTCTGGTCATTTCTTGCTCCTCTGTCTTTGTAAAGACCTTTTACATTCTTCATGGATGATATTCTTGATATCCTCCCACAGCTCATCTGGTTTTAATTCATTAGTGTCCAAGGCCTCAAACCTGTTCTTGAGATGGTTTTTAAATTCAGGTAGGATGGACTCAAGGTCTGATTTTGGTTCTTGTGGATTTGATTTCATTTTCTTAAACTTCAGCTTTTGAACTTATAAATGAGTAGTTGATGGTCTGTTTCACAGTCAGCACCTGGCCTAGTTTTCACAGCTGACATTGAGAGTCTCCAACAATTCTTTCCACAGATGTAATCAATCTGATTCCTGTGCATACATAACACAGGTGAAGTCCATATGTATAGTCATCACTTATGTTTCCTATAAAAGGTATTTGTAATGAATACATCATCAATGGTAAAAAATTCTATCATTATACCTCCAGCCTCATTTCTATCACTAAGTCCATGTTTCCTTCTTCCTAGTTTCCAACTTTTGCATTCCAGTTACCCATTAATATTAATGTATCTTGGTTGCATGTTTGATCAATTTCCAACAGCAAAAGTTGGTAGAAATCTCCCATTTCTTACTCTTTGGCTCTGATTATTGGTGCATATATTGAATGATGGTAGTATTAAAAAGTCTTCCTTATCCTATCTCTTACAACATTGCATTTCAGGATAGATCTAGAAATGGTCCTTTTTATTATGAATGTGACCCCATTTTTCTTCAACTTTTCATTTCCATTTCCAACATGTTGTTGTTGTTGTTGTTATTGCTGTTGAATCGAGCATGACTCACAGTGACTCTATGAACAAAAGACCTAATGCTTTTCCATAACTATCGTCATTTCTCCAAGTTCATAGAGTTTCCAGAGTCATATGGTTTAGGAAGTGGATGCCACTCCTGCTTCCAAAGGTATTTTGCACTAGGAGCTCCACCAAACACTGTCCACTTTGGGAAACAATTCTGGTATTTGATACCCCAGTGGCACAAGGTTCAGCATCACAGCAACCCAGGCTACTTCATACAGCACATTGAGAAAGACTGATGTGCAAAGTGGAAGAGTGTTTCTCCAAATATTACAACACTGGTCTCACTTAGCAGTGATTAAGTGCCGTCAAGTCAAATACAACTAATAACGACCCTTACTGAACTCTGAATACTCTTCTTTAATTAACAATATTTCTGTACGTTTATAGAGTTTCCAGAGGCATCTAGTTTAAGAAGTGGATGCCTCTCCTGCTTCCCAATCTGAATCAATCTGGAAGCTCCTCCAAACATTGTACATGATGGGTAACCATTATGGTATTTGATAAGACTATGGGACAATGTTCAGCATCACAACAACTCCAAATTATTCAATATAGCAAGTAGACAAATGATTGCTACATCACTTAAAGAATGTTTTAAAGACACAGCTTTAGAAGGCCTCCACCTTTGGGTCAAAAGTTCAGTTGACACACACTTTTTTTGGGGGAAAGAGCCAATAACACACATCAAACACAACCCAAAAATCTTCCCTTACATGACTGCCATCAAGACGCCATCAACTCCTCAAGTGGAGGAGCCTCAAGTGGAGGCTCCAGGCCAGATTCCAATTGATGTATTTCAGCCAACAGATGCTGCCCTGGACA